AAAGTACAGATCATTTTCATGCTTTGCAATCGCAACAGATTCATTTTTGTGGGTATGTACTTGTGAAAAGTGTTTTATAGCATGTCTAGGATTCATTCAAATCATGCTTCATATTATATTACAAAAAGTAATGAGCATCAATGCCAAGAAGATTGTCAAGAGTTAGGTATTTGCAAAGTATTAACTGAACCGAGAAAACAAGAAGAAGTTTATCAAGGTTTAGTTCAAGGGACTTCCATTACATTTACTAAGGTATGATTTAAATAGTTTTGGAATTATTTTTTATTTTTAATATTATGATCACCATGATATTATTATTGCATAGTATATTCAATTGAGTGAAAGAATTAAATGCTGCAAGAAAATTCCACCCAATGCCTTTCATCATGATGGTAAACATACTCATGATGAAGGCGGCTTTCATTATTGCGACGCCCAATGTAAGAATATATTTTCGAATTTGCAGTATATTATTTAATTTAACTTAACTATTTATCAAATTTTCATCATGAAATGCTGTATAGGTCAACTTTGTGAATACTATGTATGTTATATTTCAGATATTTTTTGAAATAACCTTTTAATTCCTAAGCTAATTAATAATCTAATTAATAATCGTTATTTCAGTGCATTTTACCTTATGGACACCCACAAGCGTTACATGAGACCAAACATGGAAATATGATTCAGACAGAATTTACTTCAGAAGAAAAAGAATTCGAATATAGAGGGTATTGATATTAACAATTTCCTTTATATATACGTAAACTATACCAGATTAATAATATTTTAATATTATTTATATACAAGCCATAAACTGAGAGCAGGTGATCACGGAACATTTGTACTTTGTAACTTGGTAAGTTGTTTTCAACAATACAAAGACTATTTTGATCATTTATTCTAATTAATGTTTTATATTATATATTATAGTACTGCAAGGAATTTGGACGTCATCGTCATATAGATTATTGTCAAGACGCTTCAACATGTAAACCCAGTGCAAATAAGAGACATATTGATGGTAAAAATTATATTATTTGTCCTTTTTTTTTATTTGATCTATTCTTATGCACCTAAAATTTTAGTCACTGTTGAACCTCATCCGGAAAAGCCAAAAGATTATATTTCTCATAAGCTTTTTTGGGAGCGTACAGGATTTAGGGGTATATATAATTCAGAGGCATGATTTTGCAATATATAATATTGTTACTTAAAGAATTTTTATAGATCCCTATACAGTTCAAGAACAAGAAATGTTTGAAAAATGTGATCATGAGTGTGCTGATGAAATACATCAGCCAACGAAAGGATCTAACATTATACCTAACAGATCATTTTGTGAATTACCGTTGTTTCATGCACCTCTTAAATTATCTGATGCACCACCAAATGGTATTGGATATATTTCTCTTGGTGGACATCACTTTACATGTGACAACCCTGCAAAAAAAGAAGGCTCATTTCATATCATTTTTACAATTGACCGATCTGGGTCTATGAGTAGTAGTGATAAAAAACCACTTCCAAATACACCTGTTTATAATCTTTTAAAAGGACAGCATGAAAACAGGACAGGTGCTGTATATAGTGCTGTAAGTATTTGATTTTTTTTCCTTTAACAGAAGATTACTTGATTTTTTCCTAAATTAAAATATTAATTTTTAAAAATTTTTTATATAATTGCAAAGGTTTATTCATTTATGGAAGCAAGGCTGGCCGCACAAGCAAGGTCACAATTACAATCCACTAATAAGGATACTGTATCACTGATTCTTTTTAATGGTGAAGTTATTGTGCCATTTGAGAATCATGTGTTGACGGATTCTAAGATGATGCTAAATCGGATGCTGCCACATTGTGCTTGGGGTGGGACTGACTTTAATTTAGCAATTCAAAAAGCAGGTAGTTTAATTAATAACTATTTTGATCCGGCAAGGTATTTAATTTATAAATTATCAATCATTATATTCTCTTAAATCATTGCTTAACAAGAAATTAATTTCAGAGCGAATGTAATTATATTTCTTTCTGATGGTGGATGTAGTACACCGAAAAGTCAGCTTGAACAAATTTGTAAATATAATAGTGATAAAGGGTAAATAAATTTTGAAATAATATCTTTCAAATCGTATATTTCTAATGCTATTTAATAATTTCAAATCAGAAACCCATTATATCTTATAACTGTTTTATTTGCCGGTGGAAGTGACAGTCCTTCTTTAAGAGAAATGGCCGAGATTGCTGGCCGACATAATCCGGCAAACAAGATTGGAAATGCTTTACGTTGTCACTTTACTAGCGCTATGACTGAGATTAATTTAGTCAATACATTTACTGGTGTTGCAGAAAGTTTGAGAGCGCATAATCCTTCGTTGATGAAAAAACTTTAGTTAATTTATTTTATCCTCCTTAGAAAATAACTACATTTAAACGGAGGGGAAATCTCTCCCTTAATTGTTATTAAAATTTAGGGTTAGGGTGTAAGATAGGCGAAGCTTAGGGTTAGATATCAGAACCCCGATTTTAGTAAGCATAAGGTTTTGGGGTTTTGAACATTTTACTTAGTATCTCTGAGATTTTGAAATATAGCAACCCGGTGACCTCCCTCCGGTGAAAATTAGCAACACTCTTATCATTATTATTATTTAGTGATTAATTATTTTAATTTTGACATTTTATGAATATATACTAAAGATTGTAATTTATTAATATTTTTAAATTCAAAATACCTATATTTGTGGACATTTTGTCTTGAGCAGTGTATAAAATTGATGTGTGCACTATGTGTATTTGTTTAATTTTGTAGCACAATTTTTTAAATTAGATATATATTAGTATATAAAAGTTGAAGAAAATATATATATATTTTCTTCATATTTTATATACTAATATATATCTAATTTAAAAAATTGTGCTCACTAAACAAAATTAAAAAAATTCAATTTTTTACACTGGTCTTGAGGTTTAGGAACATGGTGGTATGTGCCTTTGTTCTGAAAATGGCCCTTTTGGATTACGTAAAGTTTGTGAACAGATTTTTTAACTTTATTACTGCAAATCCCGATTTTTTCAAATTTCATGCGCATGGGAATTTTCCGGAATTGCTTATGAGTTTTCGGAATTTATTAAAAATTTCGGCTTTCATTATAATGGCTTCTTAGCATTAAGATATATATAAAAAATCATATACCGGGTGGGCGAAAGTCTCTAAACAGGACCCTGTATGTTTTAATCACTAAGAACATCATTCTGACATTTATAATTAGTAATCATTGCAATATTTTCGTATAAATCTTATCGGAGATAGTAAAAAGGGAATTGTTTAGAGACTTTTTCCCATCTGGTATAAAAATAAATAGCATCCTGTTTAGAGACTTTTCACTCACCCGGCATATATATAATTTGCTCATATGTTAAAACCGGTTTTAATCGGTTGTTACATATGAAAAATAAAACTGGTTCCAAACTCTACATCAAACATACTAAACATATACGTGCGTAACAATAGTGATAACAATAATCTTTAGCATTTTAATAAATTCGTGCATAGTGTAATGGATAAAATTTTTTTTGCTATTCTCTTTTATTTTATTTTATCTTTTATAGTTTTTATTATCATTATTATCATTATTATTATTATTATATATATAGTTCTTTTTCAATCCATTTTCATTGCGGTAACCGATTTCTTTTTTTGTATCGTATAAATATTTATTTTAATCAAGTATACTAAAATGGTAGTTGATGGTGGCTTATTCTATGCTCAAAATTTAGCTGCCCGATACAAAAGTATCGGAGCAGCTTTTTTGTCTCGAATCAATCACGGGGCTTTTGTAATTGTTTAAGTGATGCATTGTATTGATTTATCGTATGATTTGCTTGATGCATTGTTTGATTGTTGTATGATTTCGTATGTGATTTTGTGTTGTAATGACGTAGAATTTGCCATTAGTAATCGTTTGTAGTTTTAAGAGGAACAGGTTTTTTTTCAGGAAAGGCGATTTCTGTTTTTTCTGCTAACCCGACTTTGTCTGGTTTTTTCGTGCAAATACATACATGTTTTTTCGTGCAAATACATACTTTTATTCTTTTATGCAATACATACTTGTTTCTGTGCAAACATACATACTTGTTTTTTTTGTGCAGGAAACATACATACTTCATGTTATTTACCTAAATTAAAGCAATAATCATAAAAACTGGTCACCTTGTATGCTAGTTAGCTAGTTAGTAGGGTCCAGCATGGGCCGGCCCGTTAGGCCTGTTGGGCTTTTTTTGAAAGTTAATTTGGGCCACATTCTGAAAGTTCCAATCACATAATAAATTATCATATGACTAGTACTATGAGACATGGCTCAAATTAACTTTCAAAAAAAGTCCAATGGGTTTAACAGGCCGGCCCATGCCAGACCCTACTAGCTAGCTAAAATCGAGTGATACAAATTCTTATTATTTTGTAACTGCAAGTAATGAAACAGAATTTGCCGTTTCAGTTGGTCAAAAGAAGAAAATAGTAGCTAGGTTAATAAAGGATAGTAGGGCCCGGATAGGTAGTGTTCCAAATCATTAGTTGAAAAATCAACTAGTTGCCAACTTTCCAACTAGTCGATTTGAAAAAATTTTAAACAACTAATCGATTAATCATTCAAATAGTACAATTTTGAGAAATTCCATCTAGTTGGGCAGATCCATATTAATTCCTTTGGTTTGATTGGCTAATCGTCTGATAATGCCACGTGATGTGAACAATCGATTAGTTGCAACCATAGTTGGCAACTAATCGATTAGTAAAATATTTACCAACTCAGAACACTACAGATAGGCTCAGAAATGTCTGTTTTTGAATCTAAAACCTCTGGAAAAGAGAAAAATCAGAAATATTCAGAAAATTGGGATGAAAGTTTTTCAAAAGAGCCTGATACTTGCTAGTGGACTGGTGATAGGCTGCAACAAGCAAGGATGGAAATGGAAAATCTGTATAATACTTATAGTTGACAAATTCCTATAGGTCACAATTCTATATATAGTAGGGCCCAAGATACAAAAGTGCTGGGTTGGGTTACAGATTTGAGTTTTTTTCTCTAGATAACTTGAAACATAAAAATATTTAAAAAAAATAAAAATTGTCTAAACAGCAAATCAGTAGAAATATAACAAATAGTATAAAGCAGAGGATAAGACTTTGGCTTTAGAAGATTTGAGTTACTTACATTTAGCAAGACAGGTAGCTTTAGAAAAAGCCTATATGTCAGTGTGGATGATGAAGATAGATAGAAAGTGGCATCAAAAATAGCTGCTGTAGATAGTTTTAATCCAATATCTGAATTGTTGGAAAATAAACAAAAAATAGTCAGGATAGTGGCATATTATTTTCCTAAAGTAAAAAAAGCAAAAGTTTCTTATTCTTCTTGGGTTAATCAGCTTCTAAATCAGATCTCAGCTTCTTAAATAAACAATATTCAACTATACAGTTTACTCAGATGCAACCTTACATGCAATATTCAGGTTTTTAGCAATCTTTCAGTTACTAGTTGGAATCACAGAGTTAGTTCAAAAATTCGTTACAGCATCTTTATTACCTTTTCAGCCCAATATGCAATTTATACATTTTGGAGAGCAACAGTTACAACAATTTGGATTAGGTTTTGGTTTGCCATCACATATACAATAGCCATATTGTCTAGTATCTCAATAGCTAGTGCTTCTACGGACCGGACTTGAACCAGACTTTAGTCAAATGGTCTGATTTTTGGCCCAGACTCAGACTTTTATATCCAAACTTTTTAGTCAAGTCTGAGTCTGGTCTGGGTCTGGTCCGAAGTCTGCAGACTAGTCTGAGTCTGAATTTACCAGAAGTGGAGTAATATGCAAATATCACGAAGTGTATACCAGAACAGAGTGAAATGAAGAGCATGGCTTACCCATGGAAGAAATAGTATACAGGTGCAAAATCTTATATTTTATTGTTTAGCATGATCATAACTATCACAATGCCTCAAGTTTTCACATGAAGCAGCATCACAGTAAACTCTTAATTAGGGTAGCTGCACGATGCAGTTATGCTAAAACCAGGAATGTAGAATATTAGGTTTCAGTTGAAGCAGATAGAGCCACGCAAAGTTAATTTTTTGTTTTGCATAACCCACCAACCCAATTGTTCCAAAAAAATTTTTTTTTTAAATTCCTATTGTGTCAATTATTCCATTTTTTTTCATTTAATTTTTTTTCAGTATCACCCGATGATGACTTTAATTTTCCAGAAGTATCTGCTAGATCTGAAAAAAAATTCAAAACTTTCTGATTTCATGTTATGCAAACTAAAGAATTAACTTTGTGTAACCTTAGATGTGAACATAAATTAATTTAGGCTACACAAAATTAATTTTTTTTTCTAAAAAAAAAAACAAAAAAAAAAAATTTGATCTACAGTGCATGATACTTAAAGACTATACAAACTTTAATAGCCAATAACTTTTGATCTAAAAAAGATATTTTAAAAAGGAAGCTGCTATTTTGTAGCTAAATCAATTTATTACAAC